AGGCGCTATTTCACGGTCAGGGCGGCTAGGGTCTGGAACCAGCTTCCAAGGGAGGTGGTGCAGGCTCCTACCCTGGGGGTTTTTAAGAAGAGGTTAGATGAACACCTTGCTGGGGTCGTTTGACCCCAGTATTCTTTCCTGCCATGGCAGGGGGTCGGACTAGATGATCTTCTCAGGTCCCTTCCGACCCTAGAAGGTATGTACGAAGCTGATTTCATATGCTGATCACTGAGAAATTATGAACAGAAGTTCCAAATTCTACTTTTCATATTAGATCTGTTCTGCAAGCGTTTTGAACCTTGTTCATTTGGAGAATGGAATTGTGTTAAAATGTCTCTTGTCAGTTTGAAACCCATGCTTTTCAAACCTGGAAGTTTTTCTGGATCCTGGACTCTGTACAGAGAATATGTAAATATACATGTTACATAACATATACATGTTAGGGTCTTGGTTTTTTGTCTGGCTGGAGGCTTTTTGATTTGATCTTGTGTGCGATTCTGAGCAAAGCTGGATCACTCTGAATCAGGCCATGTAGGGACATAACCTGTGTCTAGAATGAACCCCACTACAATGAAGGAGTTCGCTTTTATAAATAAAAGTCATTCACATAAGCAGAGGATAAAGTTAAAATACATGTACAAAATGAGTACAATCTTTTAGGAAATCAGCTACAAATTTTGGGCTGTTGCATTCACATCAACATTTAATTTTTTTCCCCCCAAAGAAGGTACTCACCTAGAACACCATAATTTATATCATCCCATTATTTAACTAATTTCTTGCTCCTCCTTGTATATCTTAGACAATATGTAACTGAAGTTTTCAAATCAGTGATTATAGCCCAGATTGCTCAGGACAAAAGTTCCATTTCAAGAGGGATTTGGAAAATTGGCTTTATTCCAAACAGGAATTAACACAAAAAACCATGTACTATTTTCTGTGAGGAAAATTCTGGAAAGAGAATTCAAGTCAATTTAAACATTTTGTTTTGGTAAAATATCTATTTATCTTTTAAATTTGTTTCTGTTGATCTAATATAGAAATTAAGGGTTGTCTATATATGTGCTCAGACGGTGAAGGGAGGGGAGCGCTTTAATTTATCAAACTTTAGGTAAAGTGCCCCTGCTGCCATTTTGAAGCACGGAGATGCTGATACAAAAGAGGTGGAGGCTGGCTGGAGTGCAGCAATTACCAGACTCCAGCAGACACAATCAAATGAATCTGCTCTGACACTCTGTAATTACAGCACGTTGGAATAGCCTCCACATTGGTGTATAGGCACCCTAAAAGTTCAAATTAAAATGCAGATGTTTTAATTCTGAACTTGTTGACATGGGGGGGAAGTTTCCTCCATTTCTCCCAAAATTAAATCCTAACAAAATTTGATTTGATCTTGTGAAGCATTTTGATCCTGATGGAACAGACTTCCATCAAAATGTTCTGACTTACTCTTTTATTGAGAAATAACGGTTTAATAGGAAGAAAAAAGGGATGGAAATAGACTAAAAATAATGAAATAAAGTTTTGTGAAATAATGAAGAACACAAACTTGTTTTCTATTCTGCTTAAAGAATGTGTCGGCTTTCTGCCTGAAGATTTTTTTTATTATTAGAGTTGGATTTTTACCCATATTGTTTCTCTTGGATTTCCAGGAATTAAATGCCAAGCTTTTAATCCAATTTTCTTGAATTAAGTAGGGAACTCCTATTATTCTGAAAGGTTTTCTGCTATTTAATGAACTATTTGTTTACATAAGAAATGCTTCCTGTTCAGAGAAAGTAATAGTGATATTATAAGTGATAGAATTGTTACAAATCACTCAGGTGAATCTGATCAGTCATTTCAATCAGTTTGATATTGTCTCTCTTACCGTTATGGCTGAAATCTAAAGAAGTGTCAGCTATTACTTAATAAGATGATGTCCTACTTTTACTAGGAGTTCTGTGACTGACCTGAGTTTTCAAAATGAGGTAACCTGCTTTCACATTTTCTTACCAAGTAACTTGCTGGGGGAGGGCCATAATCTAGCTCATACTCTGGTGACCTGCAAAGACCACAAAGAACCACAACAACTTATAGAGCAGGGGTGGGCAAAATACAGCCCTTGGGCCAGGTCTGGCCTGCCAATTGATTGTATTCAGCCCATGGTTGCCTCCACAACACTCTGTATGGGAATGCTCTGCCTGCTCCTACCAGGACAGCCCACACTGCACGTCTGCCTGCACACACCCCACACCAGCCTATGGCACTGCCTTAGTCCTGACCAGCATGCACAGCTTCCCGGCAGGGGTTCTCCTGCTGCTGCTGCTGCTGCAGAGACTTGGGGTACTGCTCAGCTCCCCCTGCCTCCAACAGCTCCTCCTCCTCCTGCCCCTGCTGCACTGCTTGGGGCAGCAGGTAGCATGGGGAAGCTGTGGGGACATGATCCAGGCACCACATGCCCCATCAGGCAGAGAGGAAAGCTGCAGCCAGGCAGCTTCTATTCCAGTGTGCAGCTCCAGCTCTAGATCCCAGCTGCCTTCCATCCACTCAGCCACCTGGCATGATGAGCAACCACCTGTGTGCAGCTGGGTGGGTGGAAGGCGGCCCTGCCAGAAAGCTATGCAAATTGACCAGGGCCGGGGCTGTTCTGTTGGTGGATGCAGGGTGGGCGTGTGGCAATGGCTGCCCTGGGCAGGGCTCAGACCCATGCAGAGCACCACAGGGGCAGCTGTGGGCTGGATAGGGATGGACTGGACCTGCATCACATTGTCTGGGCAAGCTCCACTGCACATGCCCCCTGCTTTCCCCTTCCTTGCACCCCCCACCCTTAGCTGGCTCCTGGGACCTAACCCTAACCCTAACCCTAACCCTAACCCTAACCCTAACCCTAACCCTAACCCTAACCCTAACCCTAACCCTAACCCTAACCCTAACCCTAACCCTAACCCTAACCCTAACCCTAACCCTAACCCTAACCCTAACCCTAACCCTAACCCTAACCCTAACCCTAACCCTAACCCTAACCCTAACCCTAACCCTAACCCTAACCCTAACCCTAACCCTAACCCTAACCCTAACCCTAACCCTAACCCTAACCCTAACCCTAACCCTAACCCTAACCCTAACCCTAACCCTAACCCTAACCCTAACCCTAACCCTAACCCTAACCCTAACCCTAACCCTAACCCTAACC